CAAAAAATCTGTGATCATTCAGATGCAGGGACTTGATTTGTTAATGTCCTTGATTATTTGTCTGAAGTACAGGAAAGGCCAGGAAAGATTCTCGTGACTACTGCCCAGGTGATTACAGGGGACAGTGTTTTCTTTTGTCAAAAGAGCCTCTTAAGCCATTGATAATATTTCCCAAGTTTATAACAGATACAAACCTTTAAAAAATGACATTTGCTGTCACCCTGTAGGACACATCTTGAGATGAAATCAGAGCCATAGGCTTTGTAGACAAGAGCAGTCATTTCTGGTGGCTTCTGGGAGTGGGGGGCGACTGCAGTTTCCCGAATGTCGGTGATACCAAAAGAAGTATAGTAATTTTTTCTCAGTAATTAAAAGCCAGGCCAGGCGCAGTGGCTCCAGCCTGTAATCCCAGCACTTTGGGAGGCCGAGACGGAGTTCGAGGCAAGCCATTACAAAATTTGGGTGGGCATAGTGTCCCCTGCTTGTAATCCCAGCTACTCAGGAGGCTGAGGTAGGAGAATCGCTGGAACCCGGGAGGTGGAGGTTGCAGTGAGCCAAGATCATGCCAAAGACATAAGAAGGCCGAGTGCAGTGACTCACGCCTGTAATCTCAGCACTTCGCTGAGGTGGGTGGATCACCTGAGGTCGGCAGTTCGAGACCAGCCTGGCCAACATTGTGAAACCCCATCTCTATTAAAAATACAAAAATTAGCCGGGTGTGGTAGCACACACTGTGATCCCAGTGGCTCCAGAGGCTGAGGAAGGAGAATCACTTGAACCCGAGAGTCAGTGAACAGCGATCCAGCCACTATACTCCAGCCTGGGCGAGGGACCAGACTCTTTCAAAAAAAAGAAACCAGGCATACCAATATAAATGTATGTTATAAAATAACCAAACCATTATATAGTGGAAGGAGAAGTATAGTTCTGGGTAAAATTGTTTCTATAAATAAATGGCAGATCCAGTATTTTTTCCTCCATAAAAACATCTTTTCCCCTTTGATTTAGTGTATACCTCGTAGAGTTGATGAGCAGACTCAGCGACTTTTTAGATAGCTGGAGAATGCTTCATAATGGTTGCAGGTGTGTAGGGGTTTTCTTGACATTTTTCAGTATGAAAGTGAATATTGTGTCATAGGAAAGCTTTATCACTGGTGCACTTTGGTAGCAGACCAAATATGTGTCAAGTACTGTGTCTAGTGAGTGGAGAATAACTAATAATTACAATTATTGTTGTAGTTAAAGTGAAGTTTGTATCAAACTTTCGGTTTCAAACATGAACTTTCAGGGGTGTATCTGCAGTGTGTCCTCTTCAGATGTGATTTTTCTGAAGCAGTGTTTCTCTATAATTGACTTGACACAATACATCCGATGTTTTGAATGACTTAAGTGATACTATCAAAATTGCGATAACATACAGATCTAAATCACATGACTAACCTGTGTGGTATTATGCAAACTGCTCAGCTCAGTAAGGGAACAGTAAGGGACAGGCTGTCAGGAGGCTGGAGAAATGTTCTTGGCCTTATGGCTTTGGGCAAGTCAGCTTTGCTTTCTGAACCTTTGTTTCCCTACCTGTGAAGTTTGGAGGGACGGAAAGAAGCTTGAGGTGCTAATGTTAACATTCAGCTGGTCCTGGCCTGTAGAATTTTCTTCAGCTACAGGTAGAACTGCATCTTCTCACCAGTTCCATGACAGTGTTTTGCAGTCCCTCCTCAAAGATGGGAGCAGGGAGTGTTGGTGACCTTGTAGTTGGTGAGAATGAAACGGAGACACTGTGATCAGTCCCCTAGAATGGAATATTGCATGGGCCTTAGCATAAAAAGAAAGGACAATATTAGGAGTCTTTTCATACAATTAAATTTATTCAATTAAAGGACTATCCTCACTAAATTAAAAAAAAAAGTCCTGCTTTCTTGGTGTTAAAGCATATTTTTGAAATGATGGTGATAGTAAATGGTGATATATGGTAATTGTAAATAGCAAATAAATACAAGGTTATTTATTGTGATTTTTAAAAATAAAGAGAGCCAAGAATGTATTGTTATGCTGCTGTTGTTAGGGAGTTTAGGAAAAAGTTCCTGGGGCTTTTGCTGTTAAGAAGATTCAAATATAGATTATTTCTTAAGAGTAAATGTGAGTTCACTTTGAAGTCATTTTTCTCAGTCTACTAAAAAATCCACTGAGAAAGCTGTTACATTTGCCTGGCATTAAAGATGTTCCTATTCTGACCATTGTTAAATAGATCTTTTCTTATCGGATATACAATGTCAGGAGTTTTTTGTTTTTTGTTTTTTTGGTTTGTTTGAGACAGAGTTTTGCTCTTTTTGCCCAGGCTAGAGTGCAGTGGCATGATCTCAGCTCACTGAGATCACTTGCCTTCTGGGTTCAAGTGATTCTCCTGCCTCAGCCTTCTTAGTAGCTGGGATTATAGGCATACGCCACCACCCCCAGCTAATTTTGTATTTTTAGTAGAGATGGGGTTTCTCCATGTTTGTCAGGGTGGTTTTGAACTCCTAACCTCAGGTGATCAGCCCACCTTGGCCTCCCAAAGTGCTGGGATTACAAGCATGAGCCACCGCACCCCGCCCCAGGAGATTTTTTTGTGTTGTGGTGTACCAAAATAAGCCTATGAAGGGAAATTCCTCCTGGTGGTTGGAATTGTTAGTATTGACTAGACTAGCTGCAAGGTAAAGAACCCCTGTGGAGTTCTCTTATCAGTTCAGAAATGTTTCACACTGTGACCTCAGTCTTTTGCTGTGAAACAAGATGACCATAAAGAAAGTAGGCTTAAACAATGTATTTTGGGTATATTGAAGGGGAGGAACAGTTACGATCTGTTCTAGAGCAAACATAACAGATGATCTCTGTGTCTTTGAAGCCTTAAAAATTTATACTGCTCTGCTGTTAATCTCAAATAAGATTTAGAATTATTGTGACATACTCTTAAAAACTGCAGTGTATCAAAAGGTACATTTTTAAAGTATCTTGAAATGAGATTAATGATGTAATATCTACTTTCTTCATAATAGCAATTTTTATTTTGAGATGGAGTCCCGCCCTGTCTTTCAGGCTAGAATGCAGTGACATGATCTCAGCTCACTGCACCCTCCGCCTCCCGGGTTCAAGTGATTCTCCTGCCTCAGCATCTCAAGTAGCTGGGACTATAGGCACATGCTACCATGCCTGGCTAATTTGGAGTTGGGGTTTTACCATGTTAGCCAGGATGGTCTTGATCTCCTGCTCTCGTGACCTGCCCAGCTCAGCCTCCCAAAGTGCTGGGTTTACAGGTGTGAGCCACCATGCCCGGCCCACAATCGTAATTTTTACAATCTGAAGACTGTCTGCTCTGAGCCACTTCTGAGTTCTCTGTTTTCAAAGGATAATTTTGTAACTCCATAAATGAAATTTGTAAATAAGAGAAGAGAGTGAATTTTTTTTTGCTGTTTCTTTTCTATATACATTATAGGATTTTATTTATTTATTTATTTTTGAGACAGAGTCTCACGCTGTCCCCCAGACTGGAATGCAGTGGTGCAATCTCAGCTCACTGTAACCTCTACCTCCCGAGTTCCAGTGATTCTCCTGCCTCGGCCTCCCAAGTAGCTGGGACTACAGGTGTGCACCACCATGCCTGGGTAAGTTTTGTATATTTTTTTAGTAGAGATGGGGTTTCACCATGTTCACCAGGCTGGTCTTGAACTTCTGACCTCTTCAGATGTGATTTCTCTGAAGCAGTGGTTCCCTATAACTGACTTGACACAATATATCTGATATTTTGAATGACTTAAGTGATACTTTCAAAATTGCTATCATATACAGATTTAAATCATATGACTAACCTGTGTGGTATTACAAAAGCTGCTCAGCTCAGTAAAGGAACAGTAAGGGACAGGCTTGAGCCGCCTGACAACCTGTCCCTTACTGTATGGTGGGAATATGCCCACCTCGGCCTCCCAAAGTGCTGGGATTAACAGGTGTGAGCAACCACACCTGCCGAGAGTGAATGTTTTTAGGAATGTTTTTCCTGATGTTTCCCGACATCTTCATTGTGGTTTTGTCTTTATTTCTTGGTTAATTCCAGAGGTTTACTCCTGCTGGTATCTTTCCAAACTGTTAAGCTGTTCACAGTCACTCTCCCATTTAAATCCTTCAACAGCCCCATGACCTTCATAATAAGGTCTCCTTAGCTTGGCATCTGGAATACTTTAGTGCTGGTCTTTGACCCTGTTTCCCTCCCCAACCTCTGTTTAGGTGTTTCACTGAGCTGCACTGAACAGCTCTTGGCCACTTGAAATCTCGCCAGTCTCCTTGTCTCCCTCTGCTGGAATATTCTTCTCTCAGTTCATCTGATCATCACCTTCAAAACTCAGCTCATTTTCTTATTTCCTAGCCCTTTTCATGTATCTTGTTTTCCTCTGATTAATGTTCCAAACTCAAAAGAAAACTCAGCTCAGGTATTACCTTGCCTGGAAGGCTTTCCTAAGCCTCCTGTCTCCTGCAGACTTGTCTGATACTCTGTACGTTTGTGATTTAGCACACTATGTCTCGTCTGCAACCCCCCACTAGATGATGAGACTGTAAGTGTGTGGCTTGACGGAAAGTTGTTGAATCTGCTGGGGTGCTGGTACAGTGCTGGGCATGGCAGTGTTACAGAGGAAGTAAGCCACTTAGTCCTTGCCCTTAGGAGCTTTTATTCCAGTTGCACTTGACCCTGCCAAGTGTGAGTCACCTCCCAGTAGTGTATACCGACTTTCAAAGTCTGCTTAATTGTATCTTAGTGTCTAATTCCAATCTTATTTTTTGAAGGAGGGGACTCTGTCTCTAATGTCTTATTTTAGCACCTACAGACCAGTTAGACATCATTTTTGTCTCAAACTCTGGAAGGAATATACATTTGGCACAGATTACTTCCCTTTTTTCTCTTGTACACCTTTCATCTTTTTTGTTTAAGTTTGATGGAGCTCTGAGCAAGATGGAGCTCAGAGCAGATGGAGTTCAGACAAGAAGGAGCTCCAAACAAGATGGAGCTTGGAGCTGATGTTCCTCTGTGTAAGATGGAGCTACAAGCTAGATGGAGCTTGGAGTGAAAGGAGCTCAGAGCAGATGGTGCTCAGAGCAAGATGGAGCTCGGAGTGATTGGATCACTGAGCAAGATGGAGCTCAGAGCAGATGGAGCTCTGAGCAAGACAGAACTCTGCAGATGGAGTTCTGAGCAAGATAGAGCTCAGAGCAGATGGAGCTCTGAGCAGGTTAAGCTCTGAACAGATTAAGCTCAGAAAAGAAGGAGCTCCAAGCAAGATGGAACTTGGAGCTCATGTTCCTCTGTGTAAGATGGAGCTCAGAGCTAGATGGAGCTTGGAGTGAAAGGAGCTCTGAGCAAGGTAGAGCTCAGAGTAGATGGTTCTCAGAGTGAATTGGAGCTTGGAGTGATAGAAGCTCAGAACAAGATAGAGCTGAGAGCAGATGGAACTCTGAGCAAGATAGAACTCAGAGCAGATGGAGCTCTGAGCAAGATGGAGCTCAGAGTCGATGGAGCTCTGAGCAGATTAAGCTCAGAAAAGAAGCAGCTCCATGCAAGACTGAACTTGGAACTGATGTTCCTCTGTGTAAGATGGAGTGCAGAGCAAGATGGAGCTCTCAACAAGATGGTGCTCAGAGCAGATGGAGCTCTGATCAATAAGGAGCGGCAAGCAAGATGGAGCTTGGTGCAGATGTTGCTTGGTTTTAGGTGGAGTTCAGAGCAGATGGTCCTTACAGCAGGATGGAACTCAGAGTGATTAGATATCCAAGCAAGATGGACCTTGGAGCTGTGGGAGCTTTGAGCAACATGGAACTCAGAGCAGATGCTGTTCAGAGTAAGAAGGAGTTCCAAGCAAATGGCACTCAGAGCAAGATGGATCTCGGATAAGATGTTGTTAACAGTGAGATGGAGCTCTGAGAAGATGGTGCTTAGAGCAAGATGGAACTCTTGAGTAGATGGTGCTCAGAGCAAAATGGAGCTTGAAGTGGTTGGAGTTCTTAGCAAGATGGAGTTCCAAGCAGATGGTGCTCAGAGCAAGATGGAGCTCAGAGAAGATGTTGTTCACAGTGAGATGGAGCTCCAAGCGGATGGTGCTCAGTGAATGATGCAGCTCTGAGCAAATCGTGCCCAGAACAAGGTGGAGCATGGAGCAAATGGAACTCTGAGCAGATGGAGTTTAGAGCAGATGGTGCTCAGAGCAAGATGGAGCTCCGAGCAAATTGTGCACAGAAGATGGAACTCAGAGTAGATGGAGCTCTGAGCAAAAGAGCTCTGAGCATATAGTACTCACAGCAAGATGGAGCTTTGAGTGATTAGAGCTCAGAACAGATGGAGCTCACAGAAATTCCTTCCAAGCAGATGGTAATCAGAGCAATCTGGAGCTCCAAGTAGTTAGTGCTCAGAGCAAGATGAACCTCAGAATTATCAGAACTCTGAGAAAAATTAAGCTCTGTGCAAGATGGTGCTTAAAGCAAGATAGAGCTCAGAGTGATTGGAGCTCTGAGCAAGATGGAACTAGGAGGAGATAGAGCTTTGAGCAAGAAGTACCTCCAAGTAAGATGGAACTTGCAGAAGTTGTTTCCTGGTGTAAGATGAAGCTCAGAGCAAGATGGAGCTTGGAGTGATTGGAACTGTGAACATTACTCTGAGCAGTTGGAACTCTGAGCAAGATGGATCTCTGAGCAAGAGGGAGCTCTAAGCAAGATGGAGCTTGGAATAGACATCACTTGGTTTTAGATGGAGCTCAGAGCTCCAAGGAAGATGGAGCTCAGAACAGACAGAGCTCTGAACAAAAAGGAGCTCCAAGCAAAATGGAACTTGGAGCAGATGTTGCCTGGTGTAAGGTGTATCTCAGGGCAGATGGTGCTCAGAGCAAGATGGAGCTCAGAGAACATGCTGCTCACAGTAGTAAGGTGGAGCTTTGAGCAGATGGTGCTTAGAGCAAAATGGAGCTGGAAGTGACTGGAAATCAGCAAGGTGGACCTATGAGAAGATGGAGCTCTGAGCAGAGGGTGCTCAGTCCAAGATGGAGTTTGGAGTGATTGGAGCTCTGAGAAAGATGGAGCTTGAAGCAAATGTAACTCCAAGTAGATGAAACTCTGAGCAGATGGTTCTCAGAGCAAAATGGAGCTCAGAGTGATGGGAGCTCTAAGCAAGATAAGCTCAGAGCAGATGGAGCTTCAATCAGATGGTGCTCAGAGCAAGATGGAGCTTGGAGTAATTGGAGTTTCAAACTAGATGGAGCTCAGATCAGATAGACCTCTGAGCAACAAGGAGCTCCAAGCAAGATGAAGCTTGGAGCAGATGTTGCTGGTGTAAGATGGACCTCAGAGCAGATAGTGCTTAGAGTAAGAGGCCGCTCAGAGTGATTGGCACTCTGAACATTGCTCTGAACAATTGGAGCTCTGAGCAAGATGCAGCTTAGAGTAGATAGAGCTCTGAGCAACAATGAGCTTTAAGCAAGATGGAGTTTAGAGCAGAATTTGCTAGGTTTTGGAGCTCAGAGCAAAATGGCACCCATAGTGATTATAGCTCCAAGCAAGGTGGACCTCAGAGCACATGTTGCTCAGAGTAAGATGAGCTCAGACCAGATGGTGCTCAGAGCAAAATGGAGCTGAGAGAGACTGGAGCTCCCAGCATGATGGAGCATAGAGCGATTACAACTCCCAGCAAGAGGGAGCTTAGAGTAAATGGATCTCTGACTAGATGAATCTCTGGGTAAGATAAATGTCTATGCAGATGGTGTTCAGAGGAAGATAGTGCTTGGAGTGATTGGAACTCTGAGCAAGATGGAGCTTGGAGCACATGGAGCTTGGAATAAATAGAGCTTGAAGCAAGAAGGCCCTCCAAGCAGGATGGGGCTTGCAGCAGATGTTGCTCGGTGTAAGATGGAGCTCAGAAAAGATGATGCTTAGAGTAAGATGGAGCTCTGAGCAGAAGGACTTGGAAAAGGGACACATCATTTGTGGTATATTTCATTCATTCATGGTGACTTTTTAAATGGCACACACATTTAGACATCATTTGGGAAAAAAAATAAACACTCAGCATTTATCTTTTGCAGTCTTACAGAAGGAAATTCTAGCAGATTTTACTACCAATCTTCTAGTGAAGGAACAGACCAGATGTTTATTGGCCACACATACTATGATGCCAGTCCTAGAATCACCTTGCAATGGAAAGTTTAATGACAGTTTAGGTCTCAACAGAATACATAATCCAAGAAAAGACTTGAGGATTCCTAGGTCAAGCTCATTGTCTTCAAATGTCAGAGTGGAGAACTACTTGTCAAAGGACAACCAGGTCCCTATATGTCTCCTCTGGACAGCACGGGCGAAATCTTCTAAGAGACAACAATCGTCAAAACCTCCTCACCATGACAGCAAGCAAGGAGGATGGACCCTGAAGACCCTTGATGCCCCTTTTCAGCAGGACGTAGCTACAGAGAATGATGTCTGTCCCATCTCCCAAAAGATTTCTGGGTCCCAACAACTTGAGGGAGAATGTAAGAGTAGACAGTCAGATATGAGCAGGCACAATGGGGAGGTATCCGTGTTGGAAAGAACCCCCCAGAACACCTCTTTGGATGCTTAGTACTCCATCTTTGAACTGTCAGAATGTTGTTAACTAGATCATGATAAGGAAAAAAGGCAAAGGGGAATTCCTGAGAGCTGAGCAGACACAAAGAGTACAAAATTGGCTGCTATACCTTCCCAGGGTGTTGGTAATATGCAGTGCCACCATTAGTTAGGATTTGTGTTGATTAATATTTCTCATGCATGTGCATTAAGCACAGTAGGGGAGGATCCCCCGAACTTTGGTGAGAACTGGGCAAAGAAATAACTGAGGCAATAAAAGATAACAATGCAGAATGTCATGGGAGTGTTTCCAGCAGGGCCAGCCCCCTCCTCTCTTGGAGTGTATTTGTACTTCCCCAATAAAACTTTTCTTTATTTACAAAAAAAAAAAGTTTGATGTGTTTAGACAGTAAGAGTTTAAGAAATTAAGATTAAATTTCAACTTTGTCTATTGTGCATGTAGCCTAGGGAAAACAACAAGAGAAAAAATACAAAAATACATTGCCCCTAAAAAGAATCTTTTTTTAAATTAACCTTTTTTTATTTTTAATTGTTTTTAGCAACTGGGTCTCATCCTATTGCCCAGGCTGGAAGACAGTGATGATCACATCTCAGTGTAGCCTTGAACTCCTGGGATCCAGGGATCCTCCTGCCTTAACCTTCTCACTACCTGTGACTGCAGGCACATACCGGCACACCTGGATAATTCTTCAAAATTTTTTTGTAGAGACATGGTCCCACCGTCTTGCCCAGGCTAGTGTGGAACTCCTGGGTTCAAGGAAACCTCCCGCCTTGGCTTCCCTAAGTGTTGGGATTACAGGCATTGAATTATTGTGCCCAGCCTAAACTTTTTTTTTTAATGCTAAGCTGTACAGAAAAGAAAGCAAAGTTCCTGATCAAGCCTAGGAAAGAAATATGCAAAGAAACTGGTAGCCAGCTGGATATGATGGCTCATACCTGTGATTTCAGGGATTTGGGAGGTGAACAGCAGAGGATTGCTTAAGGCCAGGAGTTCAAGACCCGCCTGGGCAACATAGCAAGACACTGTCTCTACAAATAAAAATTTTAAAATTAGCCAGGTGTGGTGGTGTACATCTGCGGTCTCAGCTACTTGAGAAGCTTAGAAGGATCTCTTGGTTTCTGGGGTTTTAGGCTGCAGTGAGCTAGGATCACTGGAGAGCCCAACTCTCCAGCCTGGGTTACATACAAAGCAAGAGTCTGTCTCTAAAGAAAAAGACGCTGGTGGCAGTGTCAAGATTTGTCAAGAAATAGCCATTACGCTGGGCCCAGTGGTGTGCACCTGTAGTCCAGCTATTCAGGAGGCTGAAATGGGAGAATCTCTTGAGCTAGAAGTTTCAGTTCAGCTTTGGCTGGATTTTAAGACCCCAGTCTATGAAAATATAGGCCAATATGATTTTTTTTAATCAAAAAAAGAAAAAGAAATGTCTGCTAAACTTTAAAGCTTTTCTATTCTTCCTCTCTCCCTTCTAGTGTTCTTGAGGAAAATCCCAACTAAGCCAATTTTCCAATGGCACCTCTTCCACCATGAATTCCTGAGGCAGTCTGATGGGGCTGCTTTATTCTAGAACAATCACAGTGAGACATTTTTCTCTCCTTCATATATTCTCTTGCTTATAAAACACTCATTTCTCCTTATCATGCTTTGGTTCTACCCCACTGGGCCCAAAAATTCTTGCCCAGGAGCAACTGCATTTTCTTCTTGCATGCTTTTTAAAACTGGTGGGTTGGAGACAGTTTTAAATCTTCTGCCCTATTTTCTCATTGTTTTCTCTCCTTTCTGCATTTTCTGCAAACTCCATTGAATCACTGCAGTTATTTAGGTTTGCTTCCTCTCCCCCATTACAAACTACTTGCTGGATTTTTCAACCCGAGTTCTCTCATTTTTATGATTTGTGCTCATTTCGTTGTACACTTAGTCTTGCTCCATCCCCCACTCAGGGCCTCTGGCCCTGGATTATTGCTTTAGTCTTTTTTTTTATTTTTTGTCTTCTTCTACCTCAATACTTATCCTCCCCTCCCAGTCCCCTGTATCCCATCACCGAGGTTGTCATCATTAACCATTCATATTATTCTTCATTATCCATATATTCATGTGCAAGTAAACATGTATTAAAAAACAACAGGTTTGTGGAGATATAATTCATATACTTTAAAGTTCAGGCTTTTAAAGTGTACCTTTCGAGTGGTTTTTGGTGTATTCACAAAGTTATGCACTATCACCACTATCTGAGTCCCGAACATTTTCAATACCTCTAAAAGAAATCTATACTCATTTGTAATCATTTCACATTCACCACTCCCTCCGGCTCTGAGCAGTCACTAATCTTTGTGTCTCTATGCATTTGCCTATTCTGTTTATTTTATGTAAATAGAATCATACAACATGTGACCTTTTGTCTGACTTTCTTTCATTTATCAAAATGTTAGCAAGGTCTATTCCTGTTGTAGCATGTATTAGCACTTCATTTCTTATATGGCTGAACAATAGATAGTTCATACTTTGTTTATCAGTTGATGAACATTTGTGTTTTTGTCACTTTCGGCTATTAGGAATAATGCTACTGTGAACAAGTGTGTACAGGTTCCTCTGCAAATTTTTGTGTGGGCATATGCTTTCAGTTGTCTTAGGTATATACCTAGGAGTTGAATTGCTGGGTCTTGTAGTAGCTATGTGAAACATTTTGAGGAAATGCTAAAATGTTTTCCAGAGCTGTACCATTTTACATTCTGTGTATGAGGATTCCAAGTTCTCCACTTCCTCACCAATGTATGGATTTTGGGGGTATACTTTTTAAAAACTGGGATCAGGCTGGGCATGGTGGCTCATACCTATAATCCCAACACTTTGGGAAGCTGAGGTGGGAGGTTCACTTGAGCCCAGTAATTCGAGACCAGCCTGGGCAACATGGAGAGACCGTCTCTACAAAACATAATTTTTTTTCAGATATAGTCTTGCTCTATAGCCCAGGCTGGAGTGCAGTGGCATGATCTCGGCTCACTGTAGCCTCCGCCTCCTGGGTTCCAGTGATTCTCCTGTCTCAACCTCCCAAGTAGCTGGGACTACAGACGCATGCCACCATGCCCAGCTAATTTTTGTATTTTCAGTAGAGATGGGGTTTCACCATGTTGGCCAGGCTGGTCTTGAGCTCCTGACCTCAGGTGATCCGCCCAGCTTGGCCTCCCAAATTTCTGGTATTACAGGCATGAGCCACTGCACCTGGCTACAAAAAAATAATTTTTAAAGTATTAGCTGGGCATTGTGGTGCACACCTGTAGTCCCAGCTACTTGGGAGGCTGAGGTGGAAGGATTCCCGGAGCCCAGAGGTTTGAGGTTGCAGATGGCACCACTATACTACAGCCTGGGTGACAGAACAGGACACTGTATCGGGGGGAAAAAGTGGGATTATATTTTTGACATTTTTCTTGTTGTTTTCTTAACTTCATACTTCTGGAAATTCCCTTAAATTATCTACAGTATTACTCTCTGTATTTAATGGCTCCATGGTAATACTGCATAATATGAATATACCTTTCATTCATCAGAGTTAGCAGATATTAAGTGACTGTTATGATCCAGGCACTGCTCTAGGCATTGAACAAAAACACACAAAATTATTGCATTCTTAGAGTTTACTTTCCAGTTGAGGGGGTGGAGGGAGGTAAGATATTAGGAAATAAATTAATTACATTTACAGTATAGGGTTTCACCAGTGAGTGCAGCTTGAATCATTGGCAGCTTTCTTAGTAGTATAAATAAAGTACTAAAGATGAAATTACTCTAAATGGTGTTATTTAAATTATTATAGTCGGTATTAGTATCAGTCACTTTACAGGTGA